AATTTTGAGGTAAGGGAAGCACTTTTGGGGTAAGATTAACACTTTTTGGGGTAAAAAATCTGGAATAAGTTCACCACTTTTTTGGGTTACATTATCACTGTTAGGGTAAGGTTGACATTTGTTTGGGGTGCAAGTTACCAAAATCAAGATCGATCATATTATATTATGACCAATTTTCGATTGGTTTGTTACCAATAAGGACTGGTCATGATTGATCTTGATTTTGTTACCAATCAGGATCAGTCATACTTTATCATGAAAAAGCATGACCGATATTGATCAACACAAAGTGTTAATTTTGTCCAAAAAAGTGGTAATCTTCGCCTAGAAAAGTGGTAACTTTTCTCCAAAAAATGCTAAACGTACCCAAAAAAATGTTGAGCTGACCCCCAAAAGTGCTAGCTTAGCCTCACAGTAAACAATTTACTCCAAAATGTGATAATTTAACCCAAAGGTGATTAACTTATATCTACTTTCCCCTAAATAGTGGTGAACTTATCCCAAACAAATGCTAACCTTATCCAAAACATGTTAATTTCACCACTGTAATATTTTTAACCTCATCCAAAATTGGTAATCTCACTCAAAAAAAAGGATGATAATATCACCGTGATAATATCATAAAAAAAATGATAAATTCTATTAATGTCATCCATAAATTCACTCAATCCAACCCAAATATCCATTTTTTTGTTAATTTCATATCCATTGTTTTACATAACATTTTGAGACAAATTATTATCATTTTTTAAAACTAATTTTAATTTATGTTATTGAGTTTTGTTGTTTAAATTATATACCGGTGAAACCGGTTATCCGTTTTTAATGTACAGATGGCAAGGAAAAAAAACCTTTAATTTTTTGATACCATACCAAAAAGTAAAAGGATGCTACTGAAGTGAACTCCGCAATATTGACTTGTGCTACAATCATATAGGTCACATCTCTAAGTATGATTTTAACCACCTTTGTTTAGATTTTTCGCTATTTAATGTATCTCTCTAATCAATTTATTCATACTTATTAGAAAATATCCAACTCAAATATCTAATCATTTCATGAAAAAATGTGTGTGCATGGATGATAAAAAAAAATAATGTTTAACATACACAATATTTTTGTAGAAAAATATGTAACATCCAAATGGATTTGCATGATTGAATAATCTAATATTTAATTTATCCAACCACTTGAAATCTTATTTAGTTTTTATTTGACCACCCATCATGGCTCAAGAAATATGGATGAATCTTAGTCATAGATGGTATAAAAATGAATAATTAACACAACATTATATCTGCAATGCCCCGAAGGTACTTTATCACAATAACATCATCATAATTTTTTACGGTTGAAAGCAAATAGGATTATTTTAACATATATATTACAAATACATAAAAAATACTAGTGCTAGAGGCAGTTGACCTACCAACCACAATTTTGACTAAGCAACATAGAAATACTTCATTCTCCTACCCTGATTTTCTAGTCACAGCCCATGGGTTTTCACAAAACCATTAGACACCAACCCTCCTACCCCTTGTTTCATTCCCCAATATAAGCCAGTTCCATCTCTCCATCCACTTAAAACCCACACCCATTCCCCTCTCTCTCCCTATCTCTCTCTCTCTCTCTCTCTCTCTCTCAAACANGAGTTGACAAGAATATGGGGAAGACTATCCCGAAGTCTAAATAATGGTACCAGAGCAGGAATGTTTCTATTCAAATCTCATCATTATCCTAATTATTAAAAAGATTTTTATGTGTTAGACATAAAATCTAGCCTACACGTGAAGAGGCGTATTGAAGTGTAAATACTTAAGTTACAACCTCTTTAATAACTAAACTTTTGAAGTGAATAATTATTTAACAGATTATACATACATATAGTCTATTAATGAAGGGACGTTTTTCCTCTATACAAAATGCATCTGTCTTGCAAAAACTGCTTGTAGGGAAGAAAGTACTTTTTCTTTGAAAATTTTTTTCTCAAGTCAGATGTAGAATATATTTCACAAAATGACATTTTGAAGATTTCTAATGCATTTTGAGTATAGTCTTGAGTCTATTTCTAAAAATTCTTCCAAATTTATTTTTCTTTTTGTCGTTTATTTATGGACACGGAATTATAAATTTGTTTTCTTTCCTTTGTAGCCTCCGACTATAGCAAGCAAGTCCTCGTTCATGTTCGATTTTTATTTTGGATTTTAAATTTAGCAATTCACCATGCAAAAATAGAAAAACACAACTCAAATGTATTTTAATCTCTTAGATTTCTTAATCGTTTGAATTTCGAAAAAGCATTTCCAAAATGTTCATAAATTGATTATAATTGGCTAATTACATGAGATCGTATGTTAACCTTAACCTCAAAATGCAAATCTTAACCCAAAAAGTTGTAATATACCCAAAAAATTGATAATTTTACCTCAAAGAGTGGTAACGTACCTCTAAAAAGTGATTACATTTCTCCAAAAAGTGCTTACCTTATGCTAAAAAGTGTTAATTTTATCTAAAAAAGTGCTAACTTAGCCCCCACAGTAAAAAATTTAACCCAAAATGCGATAATTTCACCAAAAGGTGGTAACTTATTTCTATTTTCTCCTAAATAGTGGTGAACTTATCCTTAAAAAATGCTAACCTTACCCAAAAAATGGTAACTTCACCATGGTAATATTATTAACAATGGTCATTGATCCATCACAAATAATTTTAAACCGTTGGTAAGATATTTTCTCTTTTACAGATTACCCACCGGTTACTCTTCTAATATGAGGAAAAAACACTTATACAATTTTTTAAAAAAAATAAGCACACTAAAACCATTAATATAAATAGATTATGTTTAAATTAATTAGCTAAGGGAAAAGGATAATACAATTTTTTTTTTTTTTAAAAAAAAGAAAAGACACAGTAGGTGGATTAAGTTACAACTTTGGGGGAGGGGGGTAAGAAACCACCATTTTAGGAGATATTACACCTTTTGGGGGGTAAGTTACCATCTTTTGGGTTAGATTAACATTTTTTGAGAGTAAGGTTACCATTGTGGGCTAAGTTACCACTTTTTTTGTAAGGTTACAAATTTTTTGGGGTACGTTGCCATTTTTTGGGATAATGTTTACCACTTTTAGGGATAAAGAACCACTATTTTAAAGTAAATTATGTTTTTTGGGATAATTTCACCACCTTTGGGGGGTTAAATTATCACATTTTGGGGTAGGGTTAATATTTTTGGCTAAATTAGCACCTTTTAAGAGTAAGATTAGCACTTTTTGGGTGTAAGTTAAAACTTTTTAGGGTAGAATTAGCAATTTTTTGGGGTAAGATTTACAAATTTTGAGGTAAGGGTAGCACTTTTGGGGTAAGATTAACACTTTTTGGGGTAAAAAATCTGGAATAAGTTCACCACTTTTTTGGGTTACATTATCACTGTTAGGGTAAGGTTGACATTTGTTTGGGGTGCAAGTTACCAAAATCAAGATCGATCATATTATATTATGACCAATTTTCGATTGGTTTGTTACCAATAAGGACTGGTCATGATTGATCTTGATTTTGTTACCAATCAGGATCAGTCATACTTTATCATGAAAAAGCATGACCGATATTGATCAACACAAAGTGTTAATTTTGTCCAAAAAAGTGGTAATCTTCGCCTAGAAAAGTGGTAACTTTTCTCCAAAAAATGCTAAACGTACCCAAAAAAATGTTGAGCTGACCCCCAAAAGTGCTAGCTTAGCCTCACAGTAAACAATTTACTCCAAAATGTGATAATTTAACCCAAAGGTGATTAACTTATATCTACTTTCCCCTAAATAGTGGTGAACTTATCCCAAACAAATGCTAACCTTATCCAAAACATGTTAATTTCACCACTGTAATATTTTTAACCTCATCCAAAATTGGTAATCTCACTCAAAAAAAAGGATGATAATATCACCGTGATAATATCATAAAAAAAATGATAAATTCTATTAATGTCATCCATAAATTCACTCAATCCAACCCAAATATCCATTTTTTTGTTAATTTCATATCCATTGTTTTACATAACATTTTGAGACAAATTATTATCATTTTTTAAAACTAATTTTAATTTATGTTATTGAGTTTTGTTGTTTAAATTATATACCGGTGAAACCGGTTATCCGTTTTTAATGTACAGATGGCAAGGAAAAAAAACCTTTAATTTTTTGGTACCATACCAAAAAGTAAAAGGATGCTACTGAAGTGAACTCCGCAATATTGACTTGTGCTACAATCATATAGGTCACATCTCTAAGTATGATTTTAACCACCTTTGTTTAGATTTTTCGCTATTTAATGTATCTCTCTAATCAATTTATTCATACTTATTAGAAAATATCCAACTCAAATATCTAATCATTTCATGAAAAAATGTGTGTGCATGGATGATAAAAAAAAATAATGTTTAACATACACAATATTTTTGTAGAAAAATATGTAACATCCAAATGGATTTGCATGATTGAATAATCTAATATTTAATTTATCCAACCACTTGAAATCTTATTTAGTTTTTATTTGACCACCCATCATGGCTCAAGAAATATGGATGAATCTTAGTCATAGATGGTATAAAAATGAATAATTAACACAACATTATATCTGCAATGCCCCGAAGGTACTTTATCACAATAACATCATCATAATTTTTTACGGTTGAAAGCAAATAGGATTATTTTAACATATATATTACAAATACATAAAAAATACTAGTGCTAGAGGCAGTTGACCTACCAACCACAATTTTGACTAAGCAACATAGAAATACTTCATTCTCCTACCCTGATTTTCTAGTCACAGCCCATGGGTTTTCACAAAACCATTAGACACCAACCCTCCTACCCCTTGTTTCATTCCCCAATATAAGCCAGTTCCATCTCTCCATCCACTTAAAACCCACACCCATTCCCCTCTCTCTCCCTATCTCTCTCTCTCTCTCTCTCTCTCTCTCAAACACACACACACACACACATATGGACCACCTAATTACAAAATCGATCTTTTGCACTCTCCTTACAATTGCTCTACTCTCATTTACCAAGTTGCTATTATCCCACCTATCCGTTCCTTTCCCTATTAACCTTCTAGCACTCACTTTCCCTTTGCTTCCCGCCATAATCCATCTTTACAACTCCATCTCCAACCACCCGACCGACCTCCCACCCGGGCCGCGGCGCTTCCCAATTTTTGGCAATTGGCTCCAAGTTGGCAATGACTTGAACCATAGGCTCCTAGCAAGCATGTCAAATACCTATGGTCCCATATTCCTACTCAAGCTCGGCTCAAAGAATTTAGCCGTGGTATCCGACCCCGAGCTAGCCAACCAAGTCCTACACACACAAGGTGTCGAATTCGGGTCCCGCCCACGAAATGTCGTGTTCGATATATTTACGGGCAATGGCCAAGACATGGTATTCACAATTTACGGTGACCATTGGCGAAAAATGCGCCGTATTATGACCCTCCCGTTTTTCACTAACAAAGTGGTGCACCATTATAGAGACATGTGGGAGCAAGAAATGGACCTAGTGGTTCATGACTTGAAAAATAATGAGACAGTGAGAGAAACAGGCATAGTGATTAGAAAGAGGTTGCAGTTGATGCTATATAACATCATGTACAGAATGATGTTTGATGCAAAGTTTGAGTCAGAAAATGACCCTTTGTTCATTGAGGCAACCAGGTTTAATTCAGAAAGGAGCAAGTTGGCTCAGAGCTTTGAATATAACTATGGAGACTTTATTCCTTTTCTTAGGCCATTCTTAAGGGGGTACTTAAACAAATGCAGAGATTTACAGCATCGACGACTCACGTTTTTCAACAATTATTATGTTCAGAAAAGAAGGTAACCTTTTTTCGTAACATTGAATTGAGTTTTTTTTTTTCTTAACGTTGAATTAGGTCCATACCTGACCCACACCCTCAAGTGTATGAGACCAAAGTGGGTTTAAACGATAATCCAATTTCAAAATTTTAAAAATGCCTTATTTGTATTCTTTATGTCAAGGGAAATAATGGCTGCAAATGGACAGAAGCACAGTATAAGCTGTGCCATTGATCACATAATAGATGCTCAGATGAAGGGAGAAATCAGTGAAGAAAATGTGCTCTACATTGTGGAGAACATAAATGTTGCAGCAATAGAAACAACCCTGTGGTCTATGGAGTGGGCCATAGCTGAGCTGGTCAACCATCCGACCGTTCAATTTAAAATCCGAGATGAAATCTCAGCCGTCCTCAAGGGAAATCCAGTCACAGAATCTAACCTCCATGAGTTACCATATTTACAAGCCACAGTAAAAGAAACACTAAGGTTACACACTCCAATACCCCTGCTGGTACCCCATATGAACCTTGAACAGGCTAAGCTAGGTGGTTTCACCATTCCCAAAGAATCAAAGGTAGTGGTTAATGCATGGTGGCTGGCTAACAATCCTGCATGGTGGAAAGACCCCAAGGAATTCCGGCCAGAGCGATTCTTGGAGGAGGAAAGCAGCACAGAGGCGGTAGCTGGCGGGAAGGTCGATTTCCGATACTTACCATTTGGAGAGGGAAGGCGGAGCTGCCCAGGGATCATACTTGCACTGCCAATTCTGGGGCTTGTCATTGCCAAATTGGTCTCCAATTTCGAAATGCTCTCACCTGCGGGATTGGAAGGGATCAATGTGAGCGAGAAAGGAGGGCAATTCAGTTTGCACATAGCAAACCATTCCACGGTTGTCTTTAAGCCAATCTAAACATAAGTTGTTTGGCAAAGTTAAACAATCATCTACTCAAAAAATTGAAGTTATTGAAGAAAGAGTAATTTAAGTATAAGACAATGAACTCAGTCAATACTTTCTTCATTCCAGTGAATTTTTTTTTTTTTGGCTAATACTATTGTAAGTTGGGAGAGTACAAATAAGTTTTGGGTGAACCATAGACTAAATGCTTGTACGTTCACTTAGTACCAAATTATTTTTTAAGTTTTAAATAGCAAATTATTTTTTAAGTTTTGGGGTCTAATGCAAATTATATTTTGACCCCCCTGAACTAATCTTTATTTTTTATTGTCCCATCAACCATCATGTTTTTCTCGTTGCTCCTTCAACCATGGTTTTTAGTTTCACCTTGTCCTAATGATTAACATCCGTGATAAATTTGGAAACAGTTATCTCACTTGATCCCAAAAGTATGAGATTGTGGTTCACTCCGACATATGGACATTTTCCTTCCAATTATAACGGACTTGTTTTTGGGACAATGTAAAGCTAATTGAAATAATTGATGAGGTTAATATGGAAATTTAATAGTTCAAGAGGGAAAAGAAGACCAATGTCATAGTTAAGAGAGTCAAAGTGTTGCGTTAAAGCAAATTGTTTTCTTTCTATAAATTTTTTCAAGAGAAAATTTCAAAAACGAAATAGAAAAAGTGGGAAAGGTATTATGGTTTTTTAATGTCAAAATGCTAATCCCAATAGATCTTGGATTTTATTCCAAAACTATAAGAGATTAAGTGTTAATTTCTTCTTCTTTTTTGTAAATAAATGATTTTATTGATAAAAAGATAACTTTACCTAAACAATGAAGGGGAAATTGGGAAGGAAAAAAAGACTTAAAAAACCCAATAGATCAATAAATGTGATTGATCAAGCAATGGGATATCAATAAGCAATATGTTAATTTCTAAAATATAGAAAGATATATCGAAACCAAAGTATATCACTTGGTGTAAATTGAGTATTCCACCAATTAGTAACCAAAATTCCACACCTTTATCAAATGGGAGAAATCCCTCAAGGAAGATTCAAGATATAAAAGGGGAGGCTATCCTTTCTTTTTCTTTCTTTTTTTCATCTGTGAATAGTTAATGAGTCCACCTCGATGTAGTCTAGTATTTCTCTCACGCACGAGCTCCATAGCAAGTTATTGTGAATCGAGTTGTGCTATAAACAAGCAATCAGCAAAGATAAATGATAAAAAAAAATAAAGAACACAATCATGTACATGGTTCATTAGAAATTTTATTTACGCCTACGGGAGCGTCTGTTTCATTATACAAAAATCTTAATAAAGTTATCTTCCCAAAAAAGAATTTTGATACGGTTATAAATTATTTATAGGGACTAACTGAGAACACCTAATATTGGCCAATCATATAAACCTAGTTATAATAGGAGTGATATACCAACCCTAGTAAAACTCATAGGCGGTGTTTGGTTTGAGGGATAAAGGTGGATAACTCATACTAGTAAGGGATCACCATGCAAGGCACGCTAGACTTGTCCGCTAGTTAAAGATCCTTTTTTGTGAGATTATAAAATTTCAAAGAACAAAATAAATGCATTTAGATAGAAACCAACATAATCAATGACATTTAGGCTAATGTTTAAAATCCTTAAGATACAAAGTAACAGAAGAAGAAAGGAAGGTATATAGAAAGAGGGGAAAGACTCATCAATCAAATGAAAAGGTTATCTTTCTTCTTTCCAACAAGTTGTATCAATTCGAATTTCTTGTCAAGCTTTACTTTTATTTCCCATCTTTAAATCTTTGAAAGCCTTTCTGAAAGAAAATTGTCAATGGCAGTACATAATAAGATAATAAAAATGAACAAAATAAATAGAAGACCACCTGGGGGTAGGGGTGATGAGACATAAGTAAATGGAAATCTATGAATCACTAATACATCAAAAATTCAGTTCTAATTATGACCAAGTGGCAACATCTCAGTATGTGTATGCATGCCTTAAAAGGATATGGACCTTGTATTTCAAAGAATACAATCCTCATCATGCTCTATAAAATAAAAACAATCGATTTATTAAAGCATAAATAGAGAAGAGCATTTTCTTTGAAAGGAAAAAGGGAAGGAAAAAGTATTCACACAATCAACAGTAATAATTTGGAATAAACATGAAAAAAAAGTGGGTTTCCTCCATTGTTGCTACAATGGAACAGGTTACAAAGAAATCATGTTCTGGTTAAAAAAAAAAAAGCGGACAAAAATAGTTTACTGCAGTAGTATCGTTTTTACAACTGATGATACCTAAAATATGGTTAAGGTTGATCTCGATCTTTCAACTCGGCCTATCTGAGTTCGAATCAAGCAGATCATGGCAAGCTACTGGAGGTGTTCAAGTCGGATTTTCCTAGCAACAATTCCACCAAGGAGACTACAAGGGTGACAGTTGGTGATCACCAAAGCGTTACTCATACATCGAAATAGACTTACGTTCAAGCAAGATAGCTATAACCGCCAAGGAACCACCCTCAGTGACTGCATAACAAATGCGNTATGCATGCCTTAAAAGGATATGGACCTTGTATTTCAAAGAATACAATCCTCATCATGCTCTATAAAATAAAAACAATCGATTTATTAAAGCATAAATAGAGAAGAGCATTTTCTTTGAAAGGAAAAAGGGAAGGAAAAAGTATTCACACAATCAACAGTAATAATTTGGAATAAACATGAAAAAAAAATGGGTTTCCTCCATTGTTGCTACAATGGAACAGGTTACAAAGAAATCATGTTCTGGTAAAAAAAAAAAAAGCGGACAAAAATAGTTTACTGCAGTAGTATCGTTTTTACAACTGATGATACCTAAAATATGGTTAAGGTTGATCTCGATCTTTCAACTCGGCCGTTCTGAGTTCGAATCAAGCAGATCATGGCAAGCTACTGGAGGTGTTCAAGTCGGATTTTCCTAGCAACAATTCCACCAAGGAGACTACAAGGGTGACAGTTGGTGATCACCAAAGCGTTACTCATACATCGAAATAGACTTACGTTCAAGCAAGATAGCTATAACCGCCAAGGAACCACCCTCAGTGACTGCATAACAAATGCGTCCGTTATAGATAAGAGGCAAGGGCCACGCTGGAAGATCAGATAAGACCTGGGAAACTATAAGTAAGAGGCATATCCCTCACAAGCCAGAACAAGCAACCATTCTTAACAAACACTCTGTGTAATTCTCCCTTTTATCAATAAAATCTTTCTCAGGGGCAAGAGACTCCTTAAAGAGTGGATTAAATGAGCACCCGAGCTGATGAACCACTATAAACTATCTGTTTCCAATCCCCCCATCACATTTGCTCAATTTTGAAGAGTATAGGAGCTCTGATTGGATCATCTAATGATTCTCTGAGAATCATAATTGTAACGCCCCGGTTTCCCTGACCCGTTACTTTATTAAATCAATTGATCGATAATAAACCANGAACCATAGACTAAATGCTTGTACGTTCACTTAGTACCAAATTATTTTTTAAGTTTTAAATAGCAAATTATTTTTTAAGTTTTGGGGTCTAATGCAAATTATATTTTGACCCCCCTGAACTAATCTTTATTTTTTATTGTCCCATCAACCATCATGTTTTTCTCGTTGCACCTTCAACCATGGTTTTTAGTTTCACCTTGTCCTAATGATTAACATCCGTGATAAATTTGGAAACAATTATCTCACTTGATCCCAAAAGTATGAGATTGTGGTTCACTCCGACATATGGACATTTTCCTTCCAATTATAACGGACTTGTTTTTGGGACAATGTAAAGCTAATTGAAATAATTGATGAGGTTAATATGGAAATTTAATAGTTCAAGAGGGAAAAGAAGACCAATGCCATAGTTAAGAGAGTCAAAGTGTTGCGTTAAAGCAAATTGTTTTCTTTCTATAAATTTTTTCAAGAGAAAATTTCAAAAACGAAATAGAAAAAGTGGGAAAGGTATTATGGTTTTTTAATGTCAAAATGCTAATCCCAATAGATCTTGGATTTTATTCCAAAACTATAAGAGATTAAGTGTTAATTTCTTCTTCTTTTTTGTAAATAAATGATTTTATTGATAAAAAGATAACTTTACCTAAACAATGAAGGGGAAATTGGGAAGGAAAAAAAGACTTAAAAAACCCAATAGATCAATAAATGTGATTGATCAAGCAATGGGATATCAATAAGCAATATGTTAATTTCTAAAATATAGAAAGATATATCGAAACCAAAGTATATCACTTGGTGTAAATTGAGTATTCCACCAATTAGTAACCAAAATTCCACACCTTTATCAAATGGGAGAAATCCCTCAAGGAAGATTCAAGATATAAAAGGGGAGGCTATCCTTTCTTTTTCTTTCTTTTTTTCATCTGTGAATAGTTAATGAGTCCACCTCGATGTAGTCTAGTATTTCTCTCACGCACGAGCTCCATAGCAAGTTATTGTGAATCGAGTTGTGCTATAAACAAGCAATCAGCAAAGATAAATGATAAAAAAAAATAAAGAACACAATCATGTACATGGTTCATTAGAAATTTTATTTACGCCTACGGGAGCGTCTGTTTCATTATACAAAAATCTTAATAAAGTTATCTTCCCAAAAAAGAATTTTGATACGGTTATAAATTATTTATAGGGACTAACTGAGAACACCTAATATTGGCCAATCATATAAACCTAGTTATAATAGGAGTGATATACCAACCCTAGTAAAACTCATAGGCGGTGTTTGGTTTGAGGGATAAAGGTGGATAACTCATACTAGTAAGGGATCACCATGCAAGGCACGCTAGACTTGTCCGCTAGTTAAAGATCCTTTTTTGTGAGATTATAAAATTTCAAAGAACAAAATAAATGCATTTAGATAGAAACCAACATAATCAATGACATTTAGGCTAATGTTTAAAATCCTTAAGATACAAAGTAACAGAAGAAGAAAGGAAGGTATATAGAAAGAGGGGAAAGACTCATCAATCAAA